TCCCCCAGCCAGTATGCTGGCTGGGGAATTCTGGGGCTTGAGGTCCACACATCTTAAAGTGGCCAAGTTTGAAAAACACTGCTATAAACAAGTGCGAAAAACCAGCTTTGGATTCTAGATAGCTCAGAAGCCCTGACCATCTGCCCCCGGGAGGTTCTGTTCCTCAGAAAGGAGATGACCCTGAGAGATGTGTCCAGGTTTCTGGTTCTCCCCAACTGTAAGAATTCCCCCTCCCCCCAAGTTTTACACATAGCTCCTCCTCCTTAACAAGGCAAGCTAGAACCCATCCTCCTCATCCCCAGGGCTTCAGCCTCGTACCCGGTGAAGTGCTGAGACAGTCTGGAAGGATGATCCTTTCTTCTTGGAGCCTTTTCCCTTCCCACCATCTCCACCTGGGGGAACAAGAGAGGGTTGATGCATGAAAACAGTTGCAGAGCTATTTGTCATCTGCACAAGTATTTAAGTTGACAGGAGATGGAAAGTTGAAAGACCGGTGCCTTTTCGCAACCATCCAGTCCGCCTTCACTTTTCTCCATTTTTTCAAGCATTCCATTCCATCTGTAATCGCATTCATCCATCTTTGGCTACCCATCCTGGATCCATATCTCTTATACTGTCCTTGGATGATCTTCCCCTCTTTCCCATCCTCTGTTTAAGAGTTTGCTCTTCCAGATCAATCCTCATCCTCACCTGCACATAGAAGATTCATGTATCAAAGAGAGAGGATCAATTGGACCTTCTCTCTGACACACTCATGGTTTGGGTACCCTTCGTAAATCTGTATAAATTCCATTTATAGCTTTCTAAATCAGATTCTACCGCTTTCTACGTTTTGACTCTCCCAATTCTCCTCTTTGCCTTCTCCAGGCCATCTCCAAGATTGGGAGGGCCCTCAACAGCAGGAGGTAAGACCCATTCTACCTCAATTGTGGAAGCTGGTGGGCAAAGAGGACCCTCCTTAACACTGAATGTCAGACATCCCAACTTTTATTTTCCTGAGTGGCATTAATGTTGAGTCTCCAAGAGGCCTTTGGGTTCATCAGATGGTGGTTTCTAGAGCATCCTCAGGTCAAGAGCATCCTGGAGATGCAGAGTGTTTACACCAGTCATGACATACTCAATTCCCTCTTCCCTCTGCCCTCCCTATCTCACCAGCCTCACTGCCAGCATAGCTAGAGAAGAGCGTAGCCAGGAGCTTCAGGGCCGACTTCTGATAGAGAGCCACAACGGTCTCATTGAGGGGGTCCTTGTTCTTCTCCAGCCATCCATTGATGTTGTAGTCAACGGTGCCAGCGTAGTGGACAAGGGCAAAATGCGCCTCCGGCTTGCCCTTGGTGTTGCGGGCTTTCCCAAAGTTGGCCGACTTGCCCAGGTGGTTGTCGTACAGCTTGGCCTTGAAGGTCATGTCGGTGGCTTTTGGGAACATGCACTCCTCTTCGAGGATGGACATGATGCCTAGAGGCTGTCCCAGAAGATGGAGAACAAAGGGATAGCAATGAGGATAGAAATGATGGAAAAATTCCCTGGGAGACTGTTGAATTGGGTACCACATTGGAAAGATGCTGAATTTTACAGGACACCACCCCAGGATGTCTCAGTAACCTGTCTGCAGGATGGGGCTACTCAAAATTCCAATGAGAAAATCTGGAAATTATGGAGTGCACCAATGAGGACTCAAAAAACCATATTCTACTTTTCTTTTCAAAAGCAAACTTCTAACCTAGCCTCCCCCAGCATTTTGCCCTTAGGTGTACTGGATGGTAGCCCCTTAATTCTCAAGGAGTATGATTGTTTTATCAAGAAATCATTCCTTTTCAGGATGACCTAGGTATAAAAGGAGGTTATTGGGTTGACAATGTTTTTCAAACTTGGCAACTTTAAGATGTGTGGACTTCAGCTCCCAGAATTTCCCAGCCA